TGGTGTTAAATCTATGCCCAGAAACTTTCAGATTTTGGACCATTTTTGGATTTCAGTATATCACATTGGGGTACCCTGTACCAATAAAAGAAGGTTAAAATATCTCAATTTTTAAAATAGACTACATGTGGAGACATAACATTTTGGATACATTGTGTTAAATGACATATTAAATTTATTTTTGGTGCTAAGGATTGAACTCAGGGCTTTACCACTGAACCTCTAACCACCAACCCCATTAGATATAGTTCTACTGCACTGTGCTGCTTTGGATCTAAGTTCAAATCCTACCTCCTTTCAGCTGTGCATACTTGAGCAGCTGACTAGGTCTCTTGGAACCTGAGTTTCCTCATCTGTGAGATGCAGCTAGTAATAATTCCTTTGCAAAGTTATAATTGAGTTTTATAAGAAACATAGAGCCTCTAGGGCAGTGCCCGGCATATAGTAACTGTTCAGTAAATGCTGCATTGTTGAGTCTGACTTTACAAGCTTTCTGAAGGTCCTTATTGAGGGACGGTGGTAGAGTGTCTGCACACCAGCCAGGAAGCCATGGGATGGCCAGCACTGGATGGTGTCCAGCCGGGCAGCAGCCCAGGTACCAGCCTGCTCCGTCCCAAGCTTCTCTGGCCCTGGGAACGCTTAAGCCAATTCTCCTTCACCGCCTCTGACTGGCACTGCTAGCCAGAGGCAGGACCTGGTTCCTGTCCTTTAGCGTATGTCACCTTCCTGGTTCCTTCTGCGCACTCCAGAGAAAGGCCTTCCTCCTGGAAATAGAAGATCAAGGATTAGAGCTAGCCTCCTCTTTTGCAAACAGAGGTGTCCCACATTCCTTGACCTGTACAGGAAGCAAGGGGAGGGGACATGCAGGTGATATAGGGGCTGTGGGACTCAGGCCAGTAGTACCCAAGCCACTGTGTCTTCCCTGGGGTGAGGACCTTTCAGCCTCCAGATCTGGACCTTGACCCAGTGCTTAGCCTGCCTCAAGGATAATGTCAGCCTCCCCAAGCAGGGCCACCTAGCTTGCTTCCCTTTAAGAGCAGTACCAGACTCAAGCCCATGCCCCCAGAGACTGTGTAACAAACTTAAGCTGCCTCCCAGAGCGGCCAGAGCTTGTCCCTGAAACTTCTTGCCTCTCTCCAGGTCCCTGCTCTCTTTCTCCCTAGCCCCTCTTATTGCGCGGCTGCTTTTCCTCTATGGGACAGCAGGGCACCAGCCTCATTTCCATAAATAAGAGCTCAGGCCTGGGCTGTGCTGGAGGAAGGGCAGTCTGGGAGGTAGAGGGTCACTTCTCTTATTCCCGACCCACACTGGTGGTCCTCCTGCTCCCCCGGCCCACTCCCTCTGGGGCCAAGAGCCGGCTGGCCTCTGGAAAGTGGTGGAGGCCAACACCAGTAGAAGCTACCTGACTGTGTCTCTGTCCCATCACCATGGCATCAGTCAGGGAGGGGCTGGGCCAGTGGGGCGTTGGCCCCCAGCTGCCCCCCGCCCTCCCCTAAGCAGAAGCAGGGAGCGGCCTGCTCCCCGGAGACCACACTGGGATTAGGGTATCGACTTTCCCCAGCTTTCCAGGTGGCTGCTAGTGGCACCTATTAAATTCCGTGCCCGATGTCCACTCGCTGGGCTGTGTGGGTTGAGATGATGGGGCGGCCACTGAGGGCCGAGTAGAGGAGGGATGAAGGGGCAGCCTGAGAACCAACGTGAAAGTAGGGGAAGGCCCCATGAGGAAGGTCCAGAGACAGCTCTTCCTGGTGGGCTCTGCTCTGGGAAGCTGTCCAGCATCTTCTGAAAGTGAGTCTCGGACCCATCCTCACCGCCCTCAGCTACCCTACCACACCAGCAGGGCAGGTCTTGGTTTCTTCTACCTCTTAGATCTCCTTAGGAAGCTCTGCACAGATGCTCAGTCTCCCCATTACCTCCAGTGTTCTGTACCCCTCCGCCTGGCACCAGGGCACAAGTGCCCTTCTTAACATCTGAGGGCCACACACACCAAACTCCAGATGACTTGGACTCTGCCACTATTTATCCCCTTCCCCCAGGAGCAGAACCCAGGTTCTTTGCTCTTCCCCATCTCACTTCTCAGTGCCAGGCCTGGGAACCAGGAACCAGGCCCCACACATCCCCAGGGACAGCCCCTGGGGGACTCCTGGCTCCACCCAGGCTGGGCAGATTCAGCAGCTACAGTGACAACACCTGGTATTTCTGGGTGGCTGTTGGGGGTTGGTACAGGCTGGTCTCCCTGGAGTGTGGGAAGCCCGCATCACCCATTCTGAAGGCAGGAGTCTCCAGGGACTTGGAAAGAAGGGACCAGCTAAGGCTCTGTTATCTAATGGCTGCATATGAGGTTGGGGGCTACCTGGGTTTCCAGTCCTCTTGCTCTGCCAGCCTCAGAGGGCAGTGGAGCAGGTGCTGGTATAGGGGGAAAGTAGGTAGGTGCCTAAGGCCCTCAGTCCATGTGTCCCTCATATCCCTCATTATGGGGCAGAAGGGAGCAAGGTTTGGGCAGCTTTGATGACACCTGTCGCTAGGCAAGGGATACTGGTACGACTTGCTGGGGCACAGACAAGTAGCACAGAGAAAACCAGTAGCACAGAGACCTGGACAGGAAGATGGTGGGTATCACAGGGCTAGTGAGCTCAGCCCTGCCAGTCAGGCCACACCAGAGCTCCCTGTCGCCTGGCCTATTTGCAGCCGCAGTTCCAGCCCAGGCATGCTTACTGCTCCGTCACCCAGGCCAACCTTATCCCTCAGCGCAAGCCAGAGCTCCAGCTGCAAGAGGCCTTGAGCACCCGGAAGGAAGGCTGTGGTTTCATCACCTCCCAGGCTGCCTCCCTCTAGGGGCAGCACCCAGCGCTGGCTGCCCCTTTACTGCAACTCCTGCTGGGCCTCAATGGGGAATGGATTGCCCTGATCTGAAGTTTGGGCCTTAAAGTCCAACCCACAGTGTGGTGTAAGGAGCATAGGTATCAAATCGGATACCTTGCAGCTCTGGCTGTGTATTAGTGTCAGGAAGTGAGCTTGATTTCTCCGAGCCTCAGTTTCCCCACCTCAGAAACAATTGACCAGCCTCAGCCATGTTGCTGTGGAAGATTCTTTGGAGTGAGGGGACTGCAGGGGGAGGTGAGGAGGGACAGAGCACTGGAGGTGCCCCCTCCCCATCGCCGGGCTTCACCTTCCCCTTTTCCCAGGGTAAAGGACCAGATTACTTTGGATGGCCCAGGCAGAAAGCTGAGCCCGTCCTGGTGGTGTCGACTGGTCAGACCTGTTCCTGCTCACCTAAGCAGCCTGGGGGAGGGCCAGCTGGTAGCTCCGTGACTGGATTAGTGGAAGGGGAGCAGAGCCTGATCCCTCCCAGAATGAGGTCTCCACAGCTGGGGAGTGGAGGGGTGAGGGACAGGTGGCCTACGTGATCTGGTTCCTCTCCAGGTACTCACTTTTTGCTGGGCAGTTAGTTGTCTCCGCTGTCGTTTTGAGGTGTGGAGCCCCTAGCTCAGATTTGAGTATGAGTCACCACAGTCATCCATTCATCCTCTCCTGGGCTCTCTGTACTGCCACCATCTTGAAACAACACAAAAGACCTGCGTAAAAATTTACGGGGAGAGAAAATCTTTCTCCGGCCCCCTAGCCCAAGAAGGAAGGGGCCAGATCACATCTCTGCCTAGGCCGCTGTCTTCTGCAGCTGACAAGTTGGGGCAGGAGACCCTTAGGCCTCCCCTTCACCTCCTCCCACCCTCCCTTATTTCCTCCACTCCCAGCTGGGGATTTGGGTTTCAGATCAACCTGGCACACACCCCTCCCCCCTCCAGTGCCCGCTCAGCTTCATAGGACTGTTCAGCAGTATTAAGTACAAAGATAAAGTCCAGGTAAGCACAGGGACTCAGAGAGAGGGTTCCCATGGCCCTGTGTCTGGCAGCAACTCAGAGAGGTAAATGGCACTGAGAACGGCCTGTAAATGAGGACCCTGAGGCTTGGGGAAGGAAATGACAGGCCCCAGGTCACACAGTAAGCAGGGGAGCTCACTGCCTGATGGTCAAGGTGATAACCTAGGGCTTCCAGGGCGGACAGCGGCCAGTGTTCTGCCCCAGGCTGGCAGGGGAGGGCGGAGGAAGGAACCTCTAGTCCCAGGCTCCACTTCCATCCACATCCACAAGCCAGTGCTTGAGTCCTGGGGCTGTGGCTTTGAAATTGAGCTACCTTAATTAGGTCAGAAAGAGGGTGGTTAGATGGTGTCAGAAATCCGTAGTGTGCCTTGCTACCGGGTCACTCTTCCCAGGACTCAGCCCCACGCTGCACTTCCTCGGGCCCAGCCACCTCCTCTCTGTTCTGGTTCCTTGGGATTGGTGACAGGGTCTCTGGCTTTTGTCACCATCTTTATCCTCAGCTGAGGATGACCCTCTGTGGCTCACTGTGCCACCCATTGGGTTTCTCGGGTTTCTAGTTACCTGGCTCCTCCAGCTCCTTTTGAACATGGTTTGGCTTGGTGGGGACAAGAAAGGAGCCAGCATGGGTGAGGAAAGGCTTTACTGTAAACAGGCTGGCTGACTTTCAGTAAGCACCCACCCCTTCCTCTGCAGGAGGTGGAGAACAGGTACAAAGGGCTGGGGACCTGACCCATAGTCCCCAGATACCCAGCCAGGCTGACAAATGCCCCGCCATCCCCACCTGCTATCCCAGGGCCCCAGAGAATCCTCATTGAGGCAGGATGAGACTAAAATATCTTGCGAACCACTTAGAATGTCATGGGGGAAGGGCCTTGAGAGCTCCCCTTATTGCAATCCCACCCCTCACTTACCAGCAGAGCAGACTGACCTGTGCACCCAAGGCCCCAGGCGGTCTGGTGCAATGCTTGGTGCTCACCGGGTCTACGCCCTCCAGCCAAAATTCCAAGTAGGATCAAAGCATAGTTGGATTATTCCAAACCTCCCTTGCTGGGAGAGGCGGAGTCAGACAGGGCAGGGAAGGAATGGGGACATTGTGGAATGGCCTCTCCTTTATCCCTGCAGGCTGAGCTTCGGCCTCGGATCTGTTTCATGAAGAAGGGCGCCAACGGCTATGGCTTCAACCTGCACAGTGATAAGTCCAAGCCAGGCCAGTTCATCCGAGCGGTGGACCCAGGCTCCCCAGCTGAAGCCTCGGGGCTCCGGGCCCAGGACCGCATTGTGGAGGTGATGTCCTTACCCGTTTTCCAGATTCTTCCATGCTCTACCTTCCTGATCTTTAGCTCTTCAGGCAGCCATCATGCCACCTTCCACACACTAGCCCATGGGACATAACCAACCCAGAGATGCTGGGCCGGTGATTGGGTACATAGGCAAACAGGAGAAAGGGTGGGTGATACAGGAACCGAGGGCTAGCTAACTCTTTTCCACTCTCTCTCTGCGACCGTCTACCCTGAGAAGCCCTCTGCAGCCATGATTCACCCACTCATCCAGGTAGCTGCTGCTCCAGGGCCTCCCTGCTGCCTGTGCCAGGGACAGGCCTGTCTGGGTTAGGCTTGGGCTGTGCTCTAGAGAGACGAAATGTGAACTGTACACCTGGGCTGGTCCCACAATCAGAGTCTGAGAAGCTTGGTGCCAGAGATCAGCTCTCTCAAGACGTCTCATTTTACATGTGAGGAGAGGAGGAAGTCCGAGGATCACCCAGCCCTGGCCTCCCAAACCTCTCTGTCCTGTCCCTCACAGCTGTGTTTGTTTAGTCTCCGTCTGCATATTTTCTTTGGCTCTTCCTGCATGGCCTGCTTCCCTGCTGACTCTCAAAGGGGAGGACCACTGGCCTAGTTTGGAACCTGCAGGCCAGGGAGGCCCCAGGTCCTCCCTCCTTCCTGACCCCCACACAATGAGACATGTGCTGCCAACCCCACCCCACAGGTGAACGGGGTGTGCATGGAGGGCAAGCAGCACGGTGAAGTGGTGTCTGCCATCAAGGCTGGCGGGGATGAGGCCAAGCTGCTGGTGGTAGACAGGGAAACCGATGAGTTCTTCAAGAAGTGCAAAGTGATCCCATCTCAGAAGTACGTGGACGGTGAGTGCCCCCCAAGTTAGGGACACAGGTAGACTTCACTGTGTCCCAACTGTAGGTATGCAGCTTCCTGGCTTTACTGTCGCTCCTTCTCCTCAGGGTGGGTTGGTTGACAGCGGGAAGAGGAAGCAGGGGTGGACAGTAGTTTCCCAAGGTGCCATGTGATGATGGGGTCAGCTGGCAAGAGGGATGGGACAGAGCTTTAAGGTCCCCAGCCTAAGCTCCCCACCCCCACCCCCGGCACGTTCTCAGGGCATAAGGGTTAATTCTGGGGCGGCCACCAGCGTTTACTGGGCAGATCAGAGTCCAGTGACAGGGCCTGGCACCTCCCCTTCCCTTCTGTCACCTTGCCTTGGAAACAACTGCGGAGAGCGGGGGTCCCTTCAGGCTCTGGGCCCCTGCCCTCTGCCTAGCATCTCTCCTGCCCAAGGAGAGCCAACAGGACTGCTCCACCAGGACAGGGAGACGCTAAGCAGCCTCTGTTCCCCAATGGGACTTTTTCTCTGTGAAGATGGCTCAGGGTGTGGGGTGCCCTGGGCCATCCTGCTGGTGGAATGTCTTTGGACTTTGCAGTGGGTGGAGCCTCCCTGAAGGCCAGGGCTATCTTTGTGGGAGGGGGTCCACATGACTCACAGCCATAGGTAGAGAAACCCATGAGGCAGTACCATCTTCATGTGACCTGACCCAGGGTCCTGGGGACTCCTAGAAGCCGGGCTCGCTCCCCTCCAGAAGTCCTTAGCGGCCTTAGGGATGGGAAGTGGGAGTACCCTTCCCTCTTCTGCAGGTTGGTGGAACCTCAATAACTCAGCTAACCCCCTTCCTCAGTGAGGACACCGAGGCCCAGAGAAGCCCCAGCCTTGTTCTTGGGGACCATTATGAGGAACGTAGCTGACATTTGGACCCCGCTCAGCTCCTCAGATACAGTCCCCTGCCTCTTCCGCCACCCTTCCTCACCTCACCCCTGAAACAGCCCTCGCCCTTGTCGGCCTCTCTGCCCAGCACCATACAAAGGAGAGGCCCAGAGGTGGGAGGGGGAAAGCAAGTGTCCCAGTGTCCTGCAAGTCCCCTGCCCCATGGCCACGGAGAGGCTGGAGATGTCAAGGGAGGAACGAGTGAATCAGATGTGCCTGACTGGGCCTAGACCAGGGATAATATGAAAGAAAAGATACACATGAGTTATGAAAGCTGAAGGCTCAGAAGGAATCCACTGAAGCTGACTAGTCCCCAGGAGTGGAATGGCCCCCACTGTCGCTATGGAGAGGGGACTGACCCCGCCAGTTTCTCTCCCTCTGGCCCCTCCTGCCCCCACCAGGTTTTCCGTTGTTTGTTGGGGACGCACCCAGGATACTGCCCTTGTGCCTTCCTGTCCCCTGATTTCCAGATAGCAAGTGGGGGCTGGGCTTGTTTTCTCTCAGCAGAGGCAGCACCATAATCCTGGGTGTGGCACTAATAATGCTATAATGTCACTGCCACCTGGGATGCATGTGAAAAATGTTAAGGCCCAGGCCTGTCCCAGGAGTCTGTTTTGAACCAGCTTCCCAGGTGGGAGGGAGTTTAGCAACCATCCTCTAACATCCCTCCATCTGGACAGTGTTTTTCAAGTAGCTTGTGACCCACCAGTAACTCCTGAGATCAATTTATTTAGATAGAAACCAGCACTTTTTTTTTTTAAGCCAGTCAAATTTAGCAGTGGTGGGGGGGGTGTGGTATACCAACTTTAGTGACACTAATGTTAGTAAGTTCTGATAACCCACTGCCATCGGACCAGCCGAAACCAGCAATTTTTTAAAATAAAATTTAATAGAAAGATGTCAGAGAGCATCACACTGCAGGAGGGTAAGTATTGTTTTGTGAAATTTTGCCATACACACAATCCTTTGTGTGCGCTGGCTTGTGAAAATGTCACAGGTCCCTACAGTGGGCTGTCGTCAAAAGTTCTAACCACTGACTTGGTACAGGATCTGATGATCTCACCAAAAGCAGCACCTCTGGCCTCTTGTGCAAGGTGTGCTTAACAGGACTCTCCCAAAGCTTCTAGCCTCATCTCTGCTCTCCCCCACCCCTAGGTCCCTTGCCTGAGCCCTTCACCAACGGGGAGATACAGAAGGTAAGGGTAGTCCTGTATCTGCTTCTCTGGCCCCCAGCCCCACAGTGGGAGGAAGCTGTCGGGCAGTGGTGTGGTTAGGTCAGCCTCTGGCTCAGGCTAAAACCTCAAGGCTGAGTTCCAGCTCCCTCCTGAGCTCCAAGATATAGAACGTACCCTTGCCCCTGCTGAAAGCCAAGGCTGTCACACTGGAGAGGCCTGGCCAGGCCCCTCTGCAGCCTGCCATCCTGGGTGATAGGCCCCCACCTCCAACTCCTCGCCATACAGAAAAGGCCATTCTTCCTCCCAAGAACAGAGCTCTAGTGTCTGGCTGTGCGCTGCCAGCCCTGCTACTTCCAGTCTGGCTTGGAAGAACAAAGCCCCTCCTGCCCTGGCAGAAGGGAAGGGGGGCAAGGCTAGGGAAGAGATGGCAGGCCTGGTGCCAGCCAGATCCACGGAGGGACCCAGGAAGGGGCTGAGTGCCAAGCTGCCGCCCCAGCCAAAGCCTTCACTCCTGAACGGGCCCACTTAGGCAGAGGAGCAGGAGCCCTTAGGGGCAGGGTCCCCAAGCCCAATATGAACCTTGTATCACCCCATTTGTGGATCTAGAATACTTCATCCGTCTTACTCCTTTAAGTCTCTGCTTAGCTGCTTTGGACTTAACAAGTTTGGACAGGGTTGCAGGAGGTTTGGGGAACACTGATGTGCATCCCACACACCTATTAGAGAGGACCCTGGTATCCCCAGGCTCCAAAGCCATTCCATGAAAGCCACCTCAGGGAGCACACAGAATGATTTGGCTAATTCCACCTTCACTGACAACCCTCCCACCTGGGTAATGGGTGGACCCAGGCTCCCTCTGATCCTTTAAGGAATGTAGAAATGTGAAGCTGGAATTGGGTGGGTGACCACGGCACAAGTGGCACTAGGGCTTTCCTGAGCAGGAGTTTCCTGCTCCCTTCCCTGCCAGCCCACACCCCTTTTCTCTGTGCCAGGAGAACAGTGGTGAAGCTCTCGGTGAGGCAGCCTTGGAAAGCCCCAGGGCAGTCCTGGCAAGATCAGCCTCCAGCGATACCAGCGAGGAGGTAGGCCAGCCTGGTTGGGGGGTGGGACTGGGCGATGGGAAGCCGATTCCCAGGCCACTCTGGGTCCTGGCACACCAGCCTGTCTTTGAGGTCACATGCTGAGGCGCATTCTGTTCTTGTGACCTGGCTTCCCTGGGCATAGCCTCCAGGGAGCCTCCTCACCCAGGCTAAGAACCAGAGAGCCTCCCGGGCACGGGCACTGACTCCCAACTGTCTGCCTCCCCTTTCTCTACAGTTCAGTTCCCAAGACAGCCCCAAGAAACAGGACTCCACGGAGCCCTCGTCTACCTCCTCCTCTGACCCCATCCTGGACTTCAACATCTCCCTGGCCATGGCCAAAGAGAGGGCCCACCAGAAGCGCAGCAGCAAGCGGGCCCCACAGATGGACTGGAGCAAGAAAAATGAACTCTTCAGCAATCTCTGAGTGCCCACCCGCCCACCACAGTCCGAGGCTGTGGAAGGGCCCAGCCCGAAGCCTACCGTCCTAGCCACCCCACCCCCACTGCCCACCAATCCAAGTTCCAATCAGCACCAGCATCTCCCTTCTTGATGAATCTGATTGTCTTAAACACTTTGTTCTTCCCTTAAGGTGTTTTTCTATCCTTTCCCAATCAAAAAGCAGGCTCTTCTGCTCCCTGAGGCCCTTCTCCTACCAGGGGACCCTTTGCCACCCAGCCTGGGACATCAGCAGGATCCTGGAACCAGACTCTCACATGTGACCACTGGTCTAAAACTGATCAGGAAACTAATTTCTGCAGCCATTGCTCCCAGGGGATAGGGTGCCCTTCATCCTGAGAGTTATGATTTGGCTGTCTTTTGTTGATTTTCCTTTCCTTTTTCTGTTTTTTAAAGAGTGCAGTATCAGAGTTCAGAAGGATTTTTGTTTCCTTGGTTTTCCTGTCATTAATAGCTGAGGCACAGTAGCAGCCTCTGCCTTAAATTTTTGTTTCTAGTCCCACTCCTGGAGCCTGGGCAGCCTGGGGAGGCCTCGGCTGCCCCCTGCCATCCCTGAGCCAGGCACCGCCACTGTAAAGAAACTGCTTCTGAAACCAAGTTCGCTCCTCTACTGCATCAGCCTCCGTGTCTTCCTTTGAAGCTTTGTCCTGCAGTCATGTACATCTGTGGAGTAGGAAGTGGGAAAGGGTAGCCAAGTGGCCTCTGGCTGAGGGTAGGCCATGGCTGGAGCAAGGACCAACGAGGTAACTCTAACCTGAGGGCCTGGATTCCGCAGCTGCTCAGGCGCCCTGCCCGGAGTCGACTCCCTGGGCCCCAGGTGCTTAGTTGGAGAACTCCGGAGGTGGTGAGCCCACACCCTCAGAGGGCTCTGAGGCTCCTCATTCCAAGAGAGCTGCAGGTGTGAAGCGGGGATGCAGCTGGGTTTGGAGCTGGTGTTGGCTACAGGATTCCCAGGAGCAGGCTGAGCTGGCACTGGATACTTTATCTTAATCTGACCACTAGCCCAGCTGGAGGGCTGTTGTCCAGCCCCAAGGGAAAACTGGTCCACTGAGCCCCAAAATATGCTGTGTGACAAAGCTGCATGGAGGGGATTTTCCAAGGGCAAAAAGGCAGGTCCCTTACACCTCAGGCACCTGACACCACATCTAGAAGTCTGTCAGGTGGCCTAGGGCAGTGCTCAGAAGGAAGGGAAGCTGACCCTCAGCTATCCTCTCTCCACTCAGCTCACAGAGAGACCACTCAGAACCAGGTGCCCGGACTGAGGGGAACAAGTTCAGGAAGACAGCACCCTCAGAGTAGAGAGAAGGGTCAGTCTTATCTGGCCATCTGGTTCTTTAGGGTTTGGATTCTACTAGCCTTTAATGGAACCATCCAGAACCTTATCACAGCACTCATCATTCTGTGTCCTGCTCCCTCTACCTGGCCTCCCTTTACCCAACCCTCTGCTGACCCTTTGATCCCTCATGGAGTGCCCCTCCCCATGGATTGCCCCATAGGGCTTAGAAGGGCACCTCCCTACATCACCTGCTGGGTGGAGAAGCTCTGGGGAACCTTTGACTGATCGGCCGGAGACAGGGACAGGTCAGTGGCTCAGAGGAAACCAGTTGCTAAAGGAGTAGAGCAGGGTACGCAGGGGACCAGAGCAGTTCTACAGGATTTCAGCTACGTTCTGGGAAGAGGTGACCGAGCCAACGGGCTTCAAGTCACAGTATTTGGAATTGGTTCCCCTCTCAAAGGTGCCCCACAGACTGCCCTCTATGACTGTTTTGGAAACATGCCTAACCTTTCTCCACAGCGGTGCCACCCTAGGTGATGAAGAATGAGGGACAATTGGGAGTAAAGTGTTTCCTGAGGGAAGCTGGTGCCACTCTGCTAAGCCTCAGCAGCCTGGGCATCCCTGTGCCTCCACTGCCCCCTTGTGGGCAAGCTGCCTTTGCAGCTGATGTGGGAGAGCCGCAGGGACAGAAGGCTGGTCCTCCAGGATTGGGCTAAGTGGCTTCCCCTCGCAGCCAGCAGCTGAGTAGGAGGCTCACTAACAGTATTCCAGCCAAGTCTGTAGACAAAACATAGTTCTGTGCATTCTGGCTCTAAAAATGAGGAAAGGGGGCGGGGCTGCACCACTGGCGCCCTTACGAGTGCACCTGGTCTCCAGGGTCACACTGGCCTGCTGCTGACCACAGAACCAGTACTCCGCAGGGCGGGCACTGATACTGAGCTCCCGGTACTTCATGCTTGCCAAGTGAAAATCAGGGAGCTCATCAGCCCAGTGCTTTACTTGCACCCAGGGTGGCAGCCCTGTGGGGTACGTTCAGTCTTGAAGAGGAAAGGCCTGTCCATCCCACCTCCACCCTGCCCTTGCCGGTAGATTCTTGCCATGCACTCCAGGAACATGTGAGTCAGTTTGGCAGAGAGGTGAAGAGGAATTGGCTCAGCCACTGCCAGCCAGGGAGAGGCCACGGCAAACCCAGCCCAAGTCTGAAGCACATATTTATCTCCCACAAAGAGCTCTGGTCCTTGGAATGGCTGGCCCCAATGGCCCAGGTCCTGCAGAGTGGTGGCCAGGGCCTGGCTGTCACTGGTGCTCTGCTGACCCATCTCTATAGGCCTTCTCCTCCACATGGCTGGTCTGAGCCAGAAGCCACTGCCGCACAGGTTCACTCACTGCCAGTCTAAGCGTCACTTCCTGGAAGACGCTGTTCAGAGCCACCTGCATGAACAAGAAGGCAGGGTACACTAAGCTACTCAGGAGCTTTAACACCACCAGCCCTACTACCAAGACCTAGGCCTGCCCATCAATCTTCTCACCTGCTCAAAGTGAAGCTTCTGGAACATTCGGATACTAGGTTCATTTCCTTGCCCAATTTTGGCCTCAAATTTGGTCAGGCCTAGCTTGGTCACTCCTCCAGACAGGACAGGGAGAGAGAGAAAGCAGCAGAATGAAGTTCCCACACTTCCTGTCCCCATTTGCAGGGGAAGGCACCTGTCACCTGCCCCCCCTCCCTCAGGGATGTAACCATTTCTCTCCACCATGGTCCACTCAGACCATCTTACCGTAAGACATCATCAGGAGAGCAGCCTCAGTGCCAAAGCCCCGACCCCTGCAGCTGGGCTCTAGGACAAAGCAACAGTGGCTGACACCAGGGCCAGGCTCCAGTGTGACATGTGAGGTTGGTAATACTATTACATTTTGCACACAAGGGGGGCACCCAGACAGGAAAGAACACCCAAGGGTCCCCGCTTGCAACCCAGCAATCTGGCTCCAAAGCTATCTCTTCACCTTAGTACACTATCTGGAAGGAATCAGGGGTCCCTGGGAAAGAGTGGGAAACCAGGTATGCAGGAACAGGAGGGGTTCCTCTGGTAGAAGAACACTCTGGGAACTTTTTCAGCACTCCCTATCTACCTCAAGGTCAGGGAAGACTGAATTTCAAGACTACACTGAAGCATAAAGAAGAAAGTGATGATCCCAGGGGTGAACCACCAGGCTGGAGGGCAGCCTGTCCAGCCAGTGGTTGGCCTCCCATGGAGCTCTCTGAGGTTATAGTTCAGCAGGTCTGAAAACCAGGAAGGAAGAGAGGCTGGGCCATGTGGAACCAACCTGCAATCATGACCTCAATCTCCCCCAAGGTGGGGTCTTCCAGGTCCGTGAGGAAGAGGTTCACATCACCCACCATGCAGCTCTCTTCAGGGCCCAGCTGGGCCTGCCACTTCTCTGAGTCCAGCACAATGAAGGTGCACTCTAAGGCAGGAAATGCTAGTTACCAACTTCAGAGAAGAGAGATGCAGAGGGTGTTTGTGCCCAAGCCAGAAATTACAGAAAACCACTGACAACCTGGCTGGAGAAAAGGGGCCAAAAGTTTCATACAGCTACTACAAAGTTTCAAAGCTTCCTTACGTCTAAAGGAAAAACATGGCCTTCTCCAAATAGCAACCATACTCTAAAAGAGCAGAAGACCCAAAGGAGGAGGATAACTACATTAGGCAAAGGACAAGAGGACAGAACCTAAATTTATAGCTAGAGCACGAAATGCATTACTTTCTGTAAGTCCTAAGTACAGTGAGAAGAGAGGGGTCAACAACAGGGACCAGGCACGTGGACACAAGGGTTTCTAGCACACCTCCCAGTGCTTTTTTGTTTTTCCTGTACTGGGGATGGGACCCAAAGCCCTGCCCTGCGCTACATCCCCACCTTGGTGCCCAGGCTGGCGCCAACCTTGCCAGGCTCAGCCTCGCTAGGAGCTGGTATTTTACTGATATGTGCCGCTGCACTGAGCTTGCTTCCAAGCTTTCCCTAAAGCTCTGTGGGCCCGGTAGGTCTAGGAGTAGGGATAGAGAAGGGCGGGAACCTGGAGACTACCTCCGGACTCAGCCCACCCAGGACAGGGGCCCTGGCGCCTCACTGTCGGCATCCTCCCGCCAGCTGCGCTGCATCGCATATTCCTGCTCCAGGGTCAGTGGCTCTGAAGCTGTCAAACGCTGCAGTTCCTCTGATTTCATCCAGTCATGGTACCTGTGGGGACAAAGGGATGTCCTCAGACATGCAGGATCCATTGAGAAGCATGAGGCTTGTGCTTTATAAGATGAAGAAATGTTTGTAATCCAAGCTACTCGGGCAGACTGAAGCAGAACAGAGGTTCAAGCACAGCCTCAGCAGCCTAGCGACTTGATGAGACCCTACCTCAAAATTTAAAAAAAAATGTCAAAAGGTTGGAGGTGTAGCTGAGTGTAAAAGCCCTAGGCTCAATCTCCAATACAAAAAAAAAAAAAAAAGGAGAACACTCCCCCCCCAGGAGACCCAAAGAGGGTTATGGTTCTTCCTAAGACAGAGGATCACTGAACAAGACCCTTAAGCAGGTCAGACCCAGAAAAGAACAGCAGGAAGGGAATGTTCTATCTGCTTATCTTCCCAACCTGGCTCAGAGGTCCATTTGGAGCAGTCTGAAACCAAACATTCCTCAAATTCCTGAGGGGGAGTCTATGGCAAGCCAGCCTCAGCATTGAAGGCCTTACAAATCCCCACAAAGGCAAGATAGCAGGGACTCCCAAAGAAAAACTGTAAGGAGAGGACACTTCCATAATTATCACATTCACAGTTACATGTGCCAACCACGCCTACAAAAGTTCCTTCTGTGACTCAGTTCCAGCCTTTCAAGCAATCGACATCAAAGCAGTCCACTAGGATTGTGGCAGTACACGCCTAAAATTCCAGCACTCATGGACCCTGACACCAGACTCACTGGAGCAAGGGTACTGCTACCCATCAGGAGTCAGTTCGAAGGACCCCACCCCTCCCGAGACAAAACATACAACTTCATATTGTAGATGAAGCCATCTATTTCTTTAATGTATTCTTCAAAAACTATAAAATTAAGAACGTAGCTGACAGGACTTTGATATATATAACTCTCCATTTCTGAATGTCTAAAGAAATCCCAGGGCCCAGGATATAGCTCAGTGACACAATGCCTCCCTGGCAAACATAAGGCCAAGAGTTTCATTCCTGGTACCAAGAAAGAAAAACAGGGGCTGGGGAATTAGCTCAGTGGCATAAGCGCCTGCCTTGTAAGTATGAGGTTGTGAGTTCAACTCCCGGTACTGACAAAAAAAAAAAGAAAAACAAACAAAAAAGCTCAAAAAGTGTAATTCCAAAAGCCAAGGAGAGAAGGAAATGTACACAGTGGGAGTTACTAATTTTCCCATCCTGGAAAGCCTAGTTTCTACTAAAGACAAACAGGGAGACAAACAGGAAGATGAGGTGATGAGAGTCTGTCTGCAGCAGCTAAGGCACAAGACTGGACTGCGACCTTGTGAAAAAGTCATTCTAACCCTCAGAATGATAAACCCAGCAGGTGGTGGACCTGCTAGCAGTCTGTGGGAACCTGGGTAGTGAAGAGCATCTGACAGCCACTGCCTCCAGGGCCCAAGCAGTTTTACAACTCAACGTGCAGTCCTTCTCCTTTATTTCAAAAAGTTTTACACAGAGGCAGAAAGGGAGCCTTTTTGGCACTGGGGATCGAACTCAATCCCGCTCTTGCCAGGCAGGTGCTTATGCCACTGAGCTAAATGCCCGGCCCCAACTTGAAAAGCTCTTGATCAACAGTTCGATTATGGGAGGAAGAAGTGGGTTCCCAAGAGATTCAAAAATTTCTGCAGTATTAAACCGGTGCTTAACAATAGTAATAATTAACTTCTAACAACAAAAACAGCAAAGACTAATGTCCATCAGCTGAGGATTTTAGGACAAATAAATGTTAAGTCTCCAAGAACTGGGTGTATTTGCTGACACAAGGGAAAGTCAATTTATAACTGGGCAGGAATACCAATGCTTTTCCTTTCTTACATGCAGTCAGTTGACAAAATAATTCCTTATTGAAAAGTGAAAAGGAAGTTGACATCGGGAAAGGGAAAGACAAGGGAACGGTCAGCTTTTTCCAGGGAAGTTATTGTCAGCTTCATTCTTCCTCTATGTAGTCACTTCTCACAACCAGCATTTCTTCTCAGGGGAAACAACCCTGAGACTGGGGCTAAGGAAGGCTCCTGGCTGTGCCACAGAAAGTTGACTCACTCAACCCCAAGTGTACCCCAAGTCAGGTGAACAGTTACCTAGGTACATGCTCTGAAGTGTAGGGAACCAGGACCACCTTCTTCCCCAGCAACATAGTGTTCTGATTCAACCTCATGGTGGCAGCCTGCAGGCAGGGGACAGCGAACACTGCAGGACACTGAGTTTCTTTTCACGTAGGTGGAGCTCCTGCTCTCTTGCCCAGTGGAGCTAACTTGACAGAAGGGCCTCTCAACCTCCTTTCCTTCCAAATACTTCAGAGAAAGCGGTCTCAAACTCTTCCAAGAAAGCCGAGCTGATGAGAATAATTTAAGCACTCGTTGGCTCGCATTCCAGAGGGTCCAAGCCTGGGCTGCCATGCATTTCGTACCTTCGGTCTACCCTCTAGAGCTCCGAGTCATCGAACCCAAGTACTACCCAAATGCTTGTGCTTGTCCCAGCTCCAGGATTTCAGCCCAGAATTAGTTTCCATCCCTGTCTTAAACCTATTTGTAACACCTCACTCCAGCGTCCACGCCACCCAGTTTGGCCCTTCTCCCTGTCCCTCATCCCAGCCTCCCAGCCCACTCTAAATCCCCAGGCCCCTCCCTCTGGGTGGCGCTACAAACTCGTCAACTTGACCTTCCAACCACCTAGGTCTCGCAATTGCCAAACTCACACCCATCCCCCGCCGACAGAAGCCTCCCCAGGCAAACCCGTTAACCCGCCTCTCCCGGCTGGCCCCTCTTCCCTGCCAGGCCGGCTACAAGGCACTTCCGCATGCGCGCACCTTCTCACTTCCGCCACGCAGACGGCAGGTCGTAGGCCCAAATCAGGCCCCACCTCCGCAAGGGAGCCAATCACCGTGCCGTGCCCCGCCCAAGGCGAGCGCCGAGAAGGTGGGCTCAGGCACAGGCGCATGCGCCGTATGGACGCTGGTGGGAGACAGCTGGCGCCGGCAGTGGCAGAGGTTACCGGCAGCGGGCCGGCGAGCGGGAGCTATCTATGCTGCAGGTGCCGTGCCGTGTTGGGCCGGGTGGGAAGGTAGGATGGGATGGAGTGAGGTGGCAGAGTAGGAGTTCCTCTAGGAGAGAGGACAGTGGAGAGACTTGCATAGAGGCTTTTGAGAAGAGAGACAAATTTGAGAGTGAAAAACCCAGAAAGCAGGGCAGAAGACATATGGGGGCCGGGAAGTAGAGGAGAAGCTTTTGGACAAGGAGTTGGGTTGGAGAGCGACCTAGGAAGCCCCAGATCCCTGACATGAGCGGCGAGGCATTGTTCTATCGGCTACCGTGTGTGGTGATGAGCTCGCAGTTCCTGGAATTAGTGGGCATAAGTACCGCAGAGTGTGTAAAGGGGTCTGTAGGGCAGTGGGTGAGATTTAGTAGCTTCAGAAGCCCCTTAAGTCACTTATGATCCAAACAGCATCCATCCTCAAAGCAGTGCTGTGAACCGATAGGACCAGTTAAATGAAACTGCTTGATTTCCATCATCCTGGGAGAGCCTTCCAGGCTGAGTCTTAAGGTCCAAAGTGCAAGAGATGGGGCGGAGGGGTGACTGCAAATCTCCCATCCCCATCTTGGTCTACCAGAAAGCTGAAGTCTACTCTCTTTGCCTTAGGGACCTACAGCGACCACCACCCCTGCACAGAAGCAACCTCTGCTGACCACCCTCCCTTGCTTTTCTGGAGATGGCAGGTGAAATCACAGAGACCGGAGAACTCTATTCTCCCTATGTGAGTTTTCCTTCCAGAATCTGTTCAGCTCAGCACACTGCTTTTGACCTCTAGAGAAGCACCCCACTTGTAGTGGACTGTACTAGTGGTTGTTCAGGTTTAAGAAGACCCTGATGAAGACAGAGTGGGAGACTCAATATAGCAGAAGTTTTCCTGCCTCTGTCATAGCTTAGAATATTGAATCAAATTTGTTCCCTTTTTAGATGTTAGTATCAAACCCCCCAAAAAACTTGCTAACTCTTTACAATATTCATCTCAGAGCTGCCACCACTTGTGTGCAGTGCTGCCCTTCAGAGGGACAGTGATTGACAGTTGTTGACTTTGGATTTTATTCATCTCAGCAATTTGAACTTGCTTTGGTCTTCAGCTGACTTTTAAGTTGCACAACTTTTATGGTCTTGGATGGCGAAAGAGGCAGAGACTTCAAACAGCAGTTAGTTGGAGTCTAAAATTAGGACAATTAGAATGATTGATTTCTCTCTGTCTTGAGGCTCTCACTCCCCCTACACACAGTTTATCTTCCCTGTGCAATATCCACTGGTCATGGTTGTTCATCACAGAACCTCTTGTCTGGATAAGTAACTGGCAGGTAATTTGAGTAATCAGATGGTTGACACTTGTTGCTATGAAGTAACCCAGGGAAAAGCGGCATTTCTGTACATAGCCAGATATTTCTTTCTAGAAATTACCTGCCTTAGTCTGCTGCCTGCTTGGCACACACCTCTCCACCCTGGAAACCTCTGCACTGTTTCTGCTGGCACCACAGTATTGTGGCCTTATGCTGGCATTGTGGTATGATGCATAAGGAAGCCTTCCTATGAATAGCCCCAAGAAAACTTCCTCACTTCGGGTCTCCTTGTGAGGACTGTACTGTTGGCATATGGCCAGAGAAGACTTCACTTCCAAATTTACCAGGGGAAGCCTTTGTGAACCCTGGAATGGAATGAATAGGGTCCCCCTCATCTGTGGAATCCAGTAATAGTTGCCAGACTGCTGTGTCGGCAGTGAAATGGCCTTGCCTAAACGTCCCACGGTTCCTGCTTTTTCTTACAATGTCTATAAACTTAGAGATGAGGAAATGAGTCATTTCTGTAACTAAGTTTTGGAAGGATTTGAGATGCCCCGTTTCTTGTTTGGGTCATCATTTCAGGTGTCAGCATGGGCCCACAGGAGATTGGGCAGTTAGGCCTACGAGTCTGTCTGTCTGTCTGTCTCTCTCTTTCATAGGTTCTTGCTCTGTTGTATCAGACTGGCCTTAAACTCGCTATGTGGCCCAGACTGGCTTCAAATTTGTAATCTTCCTGCCTCAGCCTCCTGAGTGCTGGGATTACATGCATGTGCCACCATGCCTAGTCTAGTGATATTTTTGTGTGTGTCCATTTCCAATGTTTGATTTTGTTCAGTGTTTTTCTTTGAGACCCAGCTCTGGACAGTTGCCATAAACCAGTGCTGTTTCCTCTTATCTTCCTGGTAAAGACAGTTGTGGGAGAAAGATGGGCCATGATGGGACAAGGTGGTGGTAATCAAGAGGAAGGGGGACATAGTTTTCGGGGAACAAAACATCTTTTTTCCACCATCCTGGAAGAATGAGTCTTGAATCCTTCTAAGACAAAAAGAAGGATTTATCATCCAGTGATCCCAGATCAGCTATAGATCCGACTGACTGCCACAGCTGCTCTGAGATACCTGCAGGCCTTGATTTGGTATAGGCAGAACCCTGCCCTGGCTTCCTAGAGAGAGACCCAGATACTAGCCACATAGTTTACAAAAATGTATCAGCCCACGATCATTCCCAATATCAAGCCCCTTTTTAACTCTGTATTGCCCCATTCTTTTCTGACTGACTTAAGTCATGAGTTCTTTTTCAGTTCAGGGGTGAATGTTTGCTTTAGCTTGATTTAATTCTGGTTGTTTGTTTCAGACAGGGTCTTGCTGTGTAGTTCAGGCTGGCCTTGAACTCATGGCATTCCTCCTGCCTTAGGCTCCCAAATGCTGGGATTTCAGGCATCCACCACCATGCCCCCAGCTAGCTAGCAGGTTCTTGCAGAAGATCCTTGCTCTTGCTTTGGAAGGAGAGAGCCCTGGTTTCAGTCTTAAATTCGAGCCAGCGCTCACACATGATTGCTGCCTATTTCCTGTCAGTCATCTTAGGGGGAAGCTGTTCTAAGGTACTGGTGACCACTGTCTCCTGCAAGTCACAGTGATGCCGCTGGGTTGGAGGTGAGGCAGATACCATGCTGTGTGCTGAGGTGCCCAGGGCACAGGGCACCGTGAGAAATCCCAGGAGTAGAATGTCCCCTGCAGTTCAGCCACTGAGAGAGGAACTAGAGGAAGCTTGGTTTTACCTGCACAGGTAGGCCTGCATTTGGAGACTGGCAGGGTCTTATTCCTCTGCTTCAAGGACTCCTTCCCAGGAAGCTGGCCCTGTAGAATTGTCACATGGCCAGTGGAAGAGAATGCACGCTTCCTCTTCCTCCTTCCCTACCACTCCTCCTGCCTTAGCCTGTGACTTAGCTCAGAGGTGCTTCTTGCCTCCACCTGCTCCTTGTGGTTCGTTCTTGCTAATTACTTTTACTGAAGGTAGAAGGGGTAAATGTGTGCTAGGACTGCTGGGGCGGGAAGTCCTGCTTTGTCTTACGGGATTCCTGAGCCCTCACTAGGGGCACGGCACTTGTTTTAAAACTAAAATATCGTAACTGTCTTCTTTGCTTTCCTCATTGCTAAAACAAAATACCTGACACCCACGACTTAAATGAGGAGAGATTTATTTTGGCTCAGTTTATAGAGGTTTCAGTCCACAGCCAGGTGGTTCCAAGGCAAGAAACATGGCAGAAGAGAATTCTCATGGCGTGGCAGGCAGGAAGCAGAGAGAGATGAAGGGAGGAAGGAGAAAGAGAGCCCCTTCCAGGCCACACCCCCAGCGACCCACCTCCGTGAGCAGCTTCACCTCCCAACATGACACTGAGCTACAAACCCATCAGTGAACTAACCCACTGATGACTGTGACACCCCCATGATCTAATCACTTCCTAAGAGCCCACCTACGAGCTCATGAGGCTTTGGGGGGACAGATATAAACCATAACAGTAACAGCAAGACAAGCGTGACCACCCATTTCTGTTCTTACTGCCTAATTCATGCCTGCCTGAAGTTGACAAAGCTTCTGTTTTCCCTGAGATTTATTTGAAGTCTCTGTTAGGCACATGCAGTTGCTCACTAAAGAGAACCAAGCTATAGGAAATGCAGGTGTTAGGTGGTCAGCTCGGGTGTGTTCTATTAATGCCCTTCTTAAAACTCTCCAAAACATCAAACTCCCATCTCTTATAAAAGGACTGCACAACCCAGGCATGGTGGTGCACATCTGTAATCCCAGAACTCAGGAGACTAAGGCAGGAGGATCACAAGTTTGAGGCCAGCCTGGGCTACACAGTGAGTTCAAGGCCTGAACTACACAGCGAAACCCTATCTCAAAAAAAAAAAAGCTGCACAGTCTGACTGGCCCTCGCAGCCCCCTAGCATGTACACCTCAGCCACCCAGGCCTCCTGGTTCCGTGGGTTTCCCCACCTCAGTTGCACTGTGGGCCTTCTTACCTGGAAGGCTCTTGCTGGTGCTCTGCCTAGGCAATGCCCCCTTTCCAAATCTGAAGTGTCTTGCTGTGGTGATGCCCTGATTCTTTGCTTCCTTAGGCTTCTCTCAAGCTGTCTATAGTGTTTTTTTCCTGTCTCTCTCCTCCTCCTGTGGATGCAGCTCCATCAGGTCAAGGATTATGGCCATCCTGTTCAGTGGTACCTGGCTCAGAGTGCAGAGCCTGGCCCACGGGAGCCTCTCGGGAGTCTGAATACATGAACACGTGAGCAGCACTGAACCAGCTAGATGATTCATTCTAGCCCAGTACACATTAGCCTCAAAGTGCCAGGCAGGAAATGGACCCCAGCAAAAGTCAAAATGAGTTTGCTGCAGACAGAGTCCCTTGTACAAAGCCAACACTTTCCATTCAGAAGGCCAACCATGGACTGCCATGCCCTGATCACCTGAGCAGGATCTGGTGACAGACCACTGCCACAGCCTGAAATTGGTCGTTAGGGAAAAGATGAACACACAGATGTCTGAAGCCCGCTATAAGTCCTTGTCGTTTCAAGTACATAAAGGCAGAAAGCAAGCCAGGTAGGGTGGTTACCCCTAATAATCCCAGCACTTGGGAGCCTGAGACAGGGGGGTTGCCGTGGGTTCAAAGCCAATCTGGTCTACATGGTGAGCTGATGACCAGCCTGAACTATGTAGAGAGACCCTGTCTCAAAAATAAAAGTAGAAAAAAAGATGAATTTGGGAGACTGGGGAAAGTTCTATGGTGGAATTTGGGCCCTAAAGTTAGGTAGGAATCAAGGAGCTAGGAGAAAGCCCAAGAGGGCTTGCTTGCCTCCTGATACCAAGCATAGATGGACTGCCAGTGGCACTCTGTCCTCTAGGTAGGAAATCCACCCATTTATCCAGCACTCAGCTAGCAGTTGACACCTGCTGGGAAGCCTGTCCCTGTCTAACCACTGCCCAACCCCTTGGCCAGCCAAAGACCCCCACGGTGGTACTTGACAATCTCTGTGTCTCATTTCTTTATGGTTAAAAAAAAAAAAAAAAAAACTGACAGCCTGGGAAGCTGGTCCTGATTTGTGTTTCTGATCAATTTGCGTACCTAGCTATCTTAGCAAAACTTAAAAATAGATATAGGAGGGGCTGGGGATTTAGCTCAGCGGCATAAGCACCTGCCTTGCAAGCAGGCAGTCGTGAGTTCCATCCCTGGTGCCGATAAAAAGGAAAAAGACAAAAAAAAAATATATAGATATAGGAAGGTACATCCTTTTAAGAAGGAGAAGTGGGGCTGGGGATTTAGCTCGGCGGCATAAGCACCTGCCTTGCAAGCAGGCAGTCGTGAGTTCCATCCCCGGTACCGGAAAAAAAAAAGACATTTAAGAAGGAGAAGTGAAAGTGAGTTGAATGGGGTTCCTAGAGTTGAAATGTTTATCTTCTTTGTTTGTTTGTGTTTTGGTTTTTGTTTTTTGAGACAGGGCTTATAATACCACCCAGGCTGGTCTCGAACTCAAGGGAATCTTCCTGCCTCAGCCTCCCAAGTGCTGGAGTTGTGGGGATTAGGAAATTAAGGCAAAGAAAATAGCATAGCTCTTCTCTGAGAAAGAGAGGCAAGGCATGTTTTAAAGATGTCAAGGAAGTTTGTAGGCCAAAAGGAAGAGCTGATGGAAAGAGAGAATTTCAGCGTGAGACTGGCTGGAGGTTGAGGTCCAGCTTGGCCTCAGCAAGGAGGAGCAGCATGTGTTCCTCAAAGGCGGGCAGGGAAGAGGCAGGCACTGTGACTTTTAAGCCAGGAAGGAGTGAGCCTTTGGGAACACACACGGCCTCAATCACCTCCACAGAGCAGGAAAGGGAGCCTTCATGGGAGAGACATGGGGTCCTGGGTCTGGGAGCTGTCGCTGTGGAAAATTCCCTCTGCTGCTGCCAGACTCAAGGGAAAGGAACCTCTCGTTCATGGTAGGACTGATCGTGATTCAAAGGAGACACCTCCAGGCGCCTTGAGCAGCTTGGCTCGGGGAGAGAGGAGAGCAGCTGGCTGGGTGGTGTGCTGGCACTGCCTTGGAGAGTCTGAAATGAGACAGCAACGGCAGAGACTAAGCTGTCACTCAGATACACCCTGAAAAGAACCTATAGACTGTGGGGCGTTTGTCGTTTGAGTATTGAACGTTTGGTTGCCTAACACTGGGTACAGAGCCTGGCTCCTAAGGACCCAGTGTCCTTGTGTCTTCTCGCCAGCCTCCCTGGCTGCAGCCTGGGAAGCTTGATGATCCCTGGGGCCGTAAGGGGAGAGGCTAACTCACTTTCTGGGCTTGACTGTCACCCCCTGGTTCCAGGTGGGCCTAGTGTACATGTTCAACCTCATCGTGGGCACAGGCGCCCTCACCATGCCCAAGGCCTTCGCCACTGCCGGGTGGCTCGTCAGCCTCGTCCTCCTGGTGTTCCTGGGCTTGATGAGGTAAGAGGTGAGGGCAGCTGTTGCCCAGGCCTGGGGGTCGAGCTAGAGCGTGGCTTCTTGGGGCGCCTGACTGTCCCTAGTTAACAGGAAGCCACTTTGGGGATAGGAAGGTGGCTGTCCACCTGTAGGAGAGCCCTGAGCAATGTGGCCTGGAGAGAGGAAGTTCAAAGGTCTCACGGTGCCTTCTGGGTAGGGGGCCATTACACAGCCTTGAAGAAGTAACAGCCCAGATGCGGAATCAGCTTGGGAGTGTCCCTAGCAGTGCTGCCTGTCTCTCCCCATGTCCTGTCTGTCCTTTGCTGTACTTCATTACTGTTACCCTCCATCCTTGATCTCTGAGAAAAATGCCAGCTAGCCACAGAAAGAGCCAACAGGCATCTCAGAGGCATTAGGGGGATCTGGAAAGTTGGTGTGAAATTTAGAATTTGCTTAAGACAGTTGACCGAGTAAGTGATGAGTATGCAGGTACACACTTGTGTGGTCAGCTGCTGAGTGACCTCCCAAGCCTTTAGGGCACCTGCTTCACAACCCAGGTGTGTGGGAGCCCTAGCTGGGGCTTCAGAATGGACAGAGTCTACGTTGGGTGTTCTGGGGGATTCCACGTGCAGTCTGAGGTCATTTCACAAGAGGCCCAGGCCACTAAGGGACTTAGAACTGGGCATGTCCAGCCCATTTGATCAGGTAGAAGTCCACATAAAAGAGGCAAGAAGGAAAAAAAAAAAAAAGAGGTGGGAAGAACCTGGTGTGGTGGTGCATGCCTGTAATCCCAGCACTCAGGAGCCTGAGGCAGGAGGATCGTTGCAAGTTTGAGGCCAGCCTGGGCTACAAAGTGAGCTCAAGGCCAGCCTGAACTGCAGAGTGAGACCCTGTCTCAAGAGACAAAAAAAAAGATGGGAACCAGAACCTGGAACAGCCCACCCAAGCAGCATGTCCCTGAGAGGTGACACCCCATCTTGGCACAGCTGGCACCATTCTCTGTGTGGACTTCTTCATGGAGCAGAGACCCAACTTTCCCGGGCTTGGCTGTAGCTCGCAGGGCAGACAGTGGTGACATGGTCAGTGATTCCATTGCAGAGGAACTAGAGGGTGAAAAATGTGGAAAAAGACAAAGCCTAGCAGGGTGAGCAGCTGGGACTGGGCAGTGGCAGGTCTGAGTAGGGTCCGAGGGTCACGGAGGGCAGCACTAAAGCCCAGGTTTGGAGAGGGAGGGAGCAGGCACTGGGGAAGAATAAAGCAGATCTAAGCAGCTGGGGTGAGCTGAGACCCCGAAGGGGTAGAAAAGGGGCTGAGGTTCTCAGCTTCTTTATGCTCTTCTTTTGGGGAGTCTTGAGGTGAATTGGGGCACTGTTGGCTCATCACGTACTTCAAGCACTGTCTGTCAGGAGCTGTAGAAGTCCTTGTCCTGATGTGACTCTGTCCCCTTCAAAGGACCTGCAGCACAGGCAGCTGTCTGAATGGGGAGTGATTACTGGGGGATCCAAGTAGGGCTTCCACGCCCCCTCTTCGCTCAACCCATTTACGTTTGAGCATGATCAATGGGTTGGCTTTGTGAAGCCAAGAGAAATCTCTTTATTTATTAAGATTGATTTTAGTTTTACTTTCAAACTGAAGAGAATTCTAAAGCCCTGAAAATGGTCAGTTAGGCCAGATAAGGAGAAACCTTTTCCCAGGTGCTGAGGCCATCAGAAATGGGATTTGGGCCCTGTTGCTGTCCCTCACCAAGGTAAAGGGACCTGAGTGTGACAGCCCCTCTACCACCTGCTACCCGCCCGCAAGGCTGAGCAGTCACTGCTGTCTAGCATCAGCCCCTGAGCACACAGGGCCAGCACTGTACCCGCCTTGGGAAATGGGGAGACAAGTGTTCGCCCTAAGTTGTTGAACAGCAGGGATGGAGTCACGCCATGCAGTGCCCTGTGTCCCCTGTTAACAAGGGCACCTTTGTCCACCTAGGCTCTGAGTTTCTGTAAGTAGAGGAGAAAAGACGGTTTCTCTGCTCTAGTCTGACTTCTTGGTGAAAATCCAGTGCTTCTTCCCAGTCCCCCTTTAGATTCAGGCCACAGTAATGAAAGTTTAATTAATTAACTGATTTAGTCTTTTTTGAGACAGGGTAACTGTGCAGTTCAGGCTGGCCTTGAACTCACTTTGTAGCCCAGCCCAGCCTCGAACTCACAGTAGTCCTCCTGCCTCAGCCTCCTGAGTGGTGGATGACAGGTATGTGCCACCACAGCTGGCTTCCAAAGTTTATTTTAATATGATCCAGATGATTCCAAAAGTAAAAAAAAATGAATTCCAGTGCCACGCTTGCGGTATCTGCTTGCACTAGTGTGTGTAATTGGGAGCTCACCTGTGACCTCATGAGGAGCGGGAAGACGGTCCCTCCAGAAGCTCTGAGCACACCTCTAAGAATCCTCCTCCCCTCCGACTATGGCTTACTGCCTTCCTCAGCAGACCCCTTCCAGGGATGCAGGGCCACATTGCCCCCTCCAAGTCACCTCCACCTAAGTTTTTTTCAAGTGGCATTAAAAATGCTACAAAGGCAAGCCGACAGGCATCGGGGATGCACGTGCACACTTTTTCCCAGCAGAGACCCACCGAAGCATGTCTCTGGGGAGCAGCTCTCACAGAGGCCACTGCAGGGCTGTGAGTTGTGTCACGCATACCTGTTGCAATCTCCCCCCGTCGTTAACACATGGCTCCCTCCTCAGCTTTGTGACAACTACCTTTGTGGTGGAGGCCATGGCCGCAGCCAACGCTCAGCTCCACTGGAAGAGAATGGAAACCCGCAAGGTGTGTGTGTTGCCCTTGTCTCTAGGCCTCTCTCCGGGTTGTGTGCCCACGGGAAGAGCAGCCCGCCCTTCGGCCAGTGCAGGAGCCTGGTCCCAAGCCCCAGAGACGCAACTTAATAGCCTCGCAAAGGCAGGAGAGTGGTGTCTGCTGCCTTAGCGTCAGAGCATCGGTCCCTCACACCCTGCCTTGAGGCAGCACAGTCCTGAACGTCTGTCCCCAAGAACTACATGTGTGCATCTTCACCTTCTAATGTGACAGTGAGGATGTGAGACATTCCTAAGCAGATACCTTCTAGAAAGAGAGAACAAAGGGAGTGCGTTCTCCAGGCCTGGGGTGTCCGCAGCATCATGTGCTCACCCTTCCACCTGTCTCTCCCCTTCCTCTTCATCCATTCCACCGCGTCCTCCCAGGAGGAGGAGGACGAGGGCTCCTCCACAGCCTCCGACAGTGACGTGCTCACCCAGGAGAGCTACGAGCAGGCAGAGAAACTGCCCATCCTGTCTGTGCGTAAGTCTTGGGATTCTGGGCAGGCCCCATGCTCCCTCTGCTCGAGGGGGTTCAGGTTCTTTGTTGAGGGGGCTCTAGGGAGTCTCCCTGCAAACACTTCTGCTATTCCCTGCCTGTGCATTGGCTCCTAGGAAGGCGCCATGGTAGAGGAAGCAGAGCACAGGCTTTGGTTCTGCCTCTTACCAATATCTACAGCTCAGCGCGTTAGTTGAGCACCGTGCCTCGTGCCCACTGGAAGCCTGAGTGAGTAGGGGTCTCCAGCTCTAGCCTCCCCTTCCCCCCTCCTGCACAGGCTCCTGCCACACCGTCTCACCCCTGTTCCCACCTGGCCTCTGAGCTGGAGTCCTTCTCCTTCTTGCTCCATGAGGAGCATCCCGGAATTCTCTTAAAAATAGATGGACCGTGGCTCTGTGGTAGGGTACTTGGCTATCATACACAAAGCCTGGGGTTCCATTGCACTAGCGACAGGAACACAGTAAGATTTACAAGATGCTTCAAGCAGGGAACATTGGGAAAAGTCTTCTCAAGAGTTTGAGATGCATGGGGGATTCCTTATCCCGGAGGCTGCACTCATCTTGGTGATCCCTCCTGAAGCTCTTCCAGGGAAGAGCTGCCACCATCCCTTGTCCTTTTGGCTCCACAGAGAGACGCGCACCTCCCAACCTGTTTGAAATCACAGACCGGGTGGAAATGGGACAGATGGCTTCCATGTTCTTCAATAAAGGTAAAAGCTCCTTTGGGGTAGGACGTGGAGAAGAAGGTCCCAGCCTGCAGACCTGGTCCTTATAATGAAGACCATGCTACTAGCGGTAGGGGAGGCCATGGGGAGGAACAGATTGTCCACTTGCTCCAAGGTTCCTCCACCTTGCCAAAAGGCCTGCCCTGCTCCCAGCTGCTTACTTGAATTCCTCCCTGTCCCAGCAACTAGAAGCGGCTGCCCTAGTAGGAGTCAGGAATCCTCAGCAGCTTTCCAACAAAGAAAGCTGATGGAGGCCAAGTGGTAATTTTGTGCGTCTTATTTGCTCCACTGGGTTGAGTTGGGTTGGGTTGGGTTGGGTTTTTTGAAGCAGGGTCTTGCTGCATAGCTCAGGTTAGCCTTGAATGCACTGGGTATCCCAGGCTGACCTCAAACCTGCAGCCTCCACCTGCCAAGCATTGTGATTAGAAGTGCGCCACCCCATCTGGCTCTCTATTGCTTCATGTTTGTAGCCTGTTCGATCTGGGACAACACCCTCTGAGAGCAGGATATGTCACATGTTCTGCCGGGCCTGTGCTTGAGGTAGCCAGCAGAGGGCGCTCAGAGCCCGTGTCCGGGTTGCCGAGGAGCTGGGCGCTGCTGGGCTCCCTCCCAGCTAGGGGATATTTGGCTGCAGCCCGCAGGGATCCACCCAGCTCCAACCATGTACGTCTGGGGCAAATCTTGAGCTTTTAGAAGAAGAGCAATTGAAAGAGTTAGTGTTTAGGGCCAAACCTGTGCGTTTCCACTCGCGTGAGAGTTAGGCAGTCTCAGGAAGACTCTTCTCTTGCAGGTAGCTTGGAAGATTTTCTCTCTGTTGACACCTCCAGAGTGGGGCATCTCCACCCTCGCCATCAGTGTGGCAGGGCTTAACGCAGAGCCAGGGTGACAGAGCAGGGTCTTCCTAACCGCCCTTTGGGCCACTAGGTGCTCACTCAGTTTGTCACTGGCAGTGCCCCCTTGAGGGTCTGTCCAGGAGGCAGTGATTATCAGCACACATTGCCTGAGGCCTGGGTCTACCCTTGGTCCAGAGCAGACCTCCAAGAGCGTTCCCAGAATTCACCGCTGGCTTCCCAGTACCCAGCCCACTCCTGTGCTTTTACTTTGTCCCATTTCTGTCCCAGTCCATGTCACCAGACCAAGAAAGCATAACCGCTCCCCCCTGGCAGCCACACAGGCCTCTTCCAAAAGAAAGCTTTCAAAGTCAGATGCACATCAGAGGGAGAATGTGTATTTTTCTAAGCCTCCTTTCTTATTTTTATGTTCTGCATCTGCCCCCATTTCTGGAAGAATTCTAGGAATGAGTGGTTCATTTCGTCATCCTCCCCCACCCCCATAGTCCAGACTCTGCTAAGTCTAACAGAAAGCGGCCCATTCCCAGAGAGGCCTCCTTGCCGCATCCTGCAGGCCTGGTCCCGGAGGCCTATCCCGGGCGTTGCAGGGTGTTCAGCAGGGTCACTGGTGTCTGGGTGCCCGGAGCACCTCCTTATTGTAACAGTCAGCACTGTCTCCAGATAGCTGTTCCCGCGGGCTGTGGGGTGCAGAATCACCCCTACTCTGCTCTGTTCCTTATTCACAGACTGTTCAGTTGTCGCCTCACCTTTGGTAGGGCCACCACCCTCCCCAGTGCCCTCGGAGCCTCTACTCATTTCTTGTAATTAGAAACCCCAGGCCTTGTCGTTGATGACCTCTGAGGGGGCTATTGATCCTCCCACTTTGTGTTGAGTAATGAAATTTTATTGATCAGGGAGAGCCAAAGGCAGTTTATAAACAGCCAGAAAACTGTCAGCACAGTGCTGTGGGGAGAGGTCGGGGCCTCCTTGCTGAGAACTTTGGTGTTGGAATAGAAAGGCGAGCTGAAGTGGGTTGACGGTGTGAGCCCAGGGGCCACTGAGTTTGGAAGTCAGGCCCATCTCTGACATGTCAGGGAAGGCCACACCAACTAGTGTATTCAAAAACAAGCACCAGCCTCTTGTGGTCCTTTACGAACTTGTGTTTGCAGCCAGATGTAGTGGTGTGGCCTACAATCCCAGCACTCTGGGAGGCTCAGGCAGAATTACACATTGGAGCATTTGAGTTCATCCTTGGGCCACTGAGCAACTTAGTAAGACCCTGTCTCCAAAGCGGGCAGTGGGCAAGGGAAGCTCAGTGCAAAGGCCCTAGGTTCAGTCCTTGGGAAACCTCCCCGCCCACTGTGTGTTTTGCTGTTGTTTTTCCTCTAGATTTGTAGGAGCAGAGCTGACCTTGGCCAAGGAGTAACATGACCTAGGCTTTTTCATGGGGACCCTGCAGGTTCTTCTGAGCCACCAGGATTAGAAAGGACCTGTTACTTATCACTTTATTTTATTTTATTTTATTTATTTTTGGTTCTTAGAGAAGCCAGCAGCTTGAGACTGGTGACATAAAAACTTGAGCTCATTGCTCAGACTAGTTGTCTGAGGCTTTTTCAGACTGGTCACCAAGGGCCATAACCCGTACATTACAGAGCCCTGACTGCTTTCCCCAGGGCCTCTAGCCCTGATCTGTGTAGCCCTGATTGTGCGCACATGCAGGGTAACATGGGTGGAATTCCTCTCACTGCGAGATAAGAGCTGTTGGGGACGTGCCAGGATTGAGAATCGAGTCTGATGAGACTAGGATGGGAGCCCTGTGCTCCCAGCTTCTGCTTCTGGCCACTTCTGCAGTGAGAGCGGCACGGTCTGTTCGGCCGAGGGTGTGCCAGCGTCACGCACCTTCCAGAGTCAGCCCTCTGCCTCGTGGGAAGGGGAGGGAGCCCGCGGTGAGCACTGTCTCTCCTAGGACAGCAGGCATGGCTGGGCCACTGTTGTTGCCTGATTCAGATTCATAAAGAGGCCTTCGGAAATGAAGCTCTTTCCATGCTGTCAGTTTGGACTTTGGGGAACTGGACCGTTTTCCACTGCCTTCTCTGCTTCAAGTCTTCAGTAGTGACCTCTTGTCCTAGAGCTGTGTGTTGGCTGCAGAGCAGTGCACCAGGGTTCATTGCCTGACTCAAGCATCTCCTCCCCTCCCGCAGTGTCCTGGTCCTTGTGTGCGGTCCCCTCAGGCTGTTGGTCCCTCTGGGTTAGCCGTTCTTTCGCTCACCTTGCACTGATCCAGATTCAGAGCTTCTGGCATCTCCAGGCCTCACAGAGCTCTCTCAGTGCAATGTGTCTCTTGCCAGTGTCACAGTGCAACCAGCCAGGTCAAGGAATAGGACTCCAGGGTCATTTTTCTGCTTTTTGTAGGAAGTCAGCGGCTTGGGCCTGAAAGCTACAGCGGAGGTAGGCAACTGTCAGACAGCAGCGCCGCCACCTCTGGGCCCCTGACTGACTGCTGGTTGTGTTGCTTTCAGTGGGGGTCAACTTGTTCTATTTCTGCATCATCATTTACCTGTATGGGGACCTGGCCATCTATGCTGCAGCTGTGCCCTTCTCCCTCATGCAGGTGACCTGGTGAGTAGCCCCGTCAGCCCCTAGGCTGGCTATAGCCCATGATGGCCTGAAGGGGCAGTGGCCATCAGAGAAGCGTGATGCCAAGCAAGTCTATGGCACCCAATGAGGCTGACCCCGAGGCCCTTCTCCACAGAGCCACCACCAGCTCTGCCTTCTGTCCCCGGGAGACACACTCTGCACTGCTGTCCCCTCCCCAACCCCATTGGGAAGATGGCTCAGATTCCTCCGAGGGCTCCCCGAGTCATTAGGAAAAGTGGGGTGCATCCTAGAAGATGGTTTATGCAAAGTCAGATTGTGGAGGAGGGTAGCTTCTGTGTCACCCCAAGACAGGGCAGGGAGGGCACCCCAAGCCTGGGCCTGGTGTTATTCTCTCAGCAGCATCTCCGGCAATGACTCCTGTGGCGTGGAGGCAGACACCAAGTACAACGACACTGACCTATGCTGGGGCTCCCTGCGCCGAGTGGACGCTTACCGCATCTACCTGGTGAGTGTCGCCACCTAGTCCAAAGTGCTATGGCCATCTCAGGTGGCAGAGGGCTCTAAATCATCTTTGCTTCCTAAGAAAACCCAGAAAAGAGGTGCCTATGTGTCTCCATGACTGTGGCTGAACCCTAGGGTCTCACCTCTAGCAGGACATGGGTCACATTCCTAAGATTCCAGCCTCATGGTGCCTTGAGGCCCAGGCCTCAAGTTAGACTTCTGGGTCCTTGCCAGCTCTGGGGCCATACACTGTCATGGACTTAGCTCAAAGTTTGAGGGGCGCTCTTTGCAAAGCACTTTGAAAGTCCCCGACCTCCTGCTCCCAACTGTCCATGTTTTGATCTAACTCTGTGCCAGCCTGGAGCTCTCAGGCAGAAACTGGATCTCCTGACCGGGTGTGCAGCACAGTCCATGACCACAGTCAGGTTCTGCAGACAGGGCAGGCTCAGCCCAGCCACCTTCCTGTCTGCCTGCTTCCCTGTGGACAGTGGAAGAAGATGAATCTCCAGGCTCGTTCTTGATTGCTTTAGGCCATGATGCGGTGGGGGTGGTGCCAGTCGGGCTTCTGATAATAAGACACGGACCAGAGGCAGCTATTTGTCTCTGTCTGCTTCATGGGCAGGGCTCACAAACGTTTCCCTTTAGCTTTTGCAGTATCTATTAATACGTTCTGCTTCCCTTGGTCCTCCTCAGCCCTGGCACAGATTCAGGTTGCTGGGTGACACACAGTTTGACGTGGTGCCACTTGGCCGATTTGAAGAGGGAAGCAAAGGCCAGAAGAAGGCCCAGGCCTTCAGGTAGTGGCCTCTTGACCCCATCATTACTATCCTGGTAGAGATTTCCGCAGGCCCTGCTAGTTGTGTTATTTGGGTCCAGCCTCGTTAACTCTAGGGACCACTGAATGGTATTTTTATGCCTCTGAGTCTGGGCTCACAGATCTCTGAAAGGAGCCCCATGGTGCGGAGCGTAGGAGAGGTGTCTCGTCTGTATCTCAGGCAGTTGGTCAGGGATTTGTCTCTTGCACTGCTTCACCTGCCTGGTTTTGATGGTGGCACAGGAACCAGCAGGGTAGCCAGGAGGATGGGCGAACTGAGACCTGGTTCACCTCTTAGCATTTCAATGCACTGTAATGGATGAAATTACCCGAGGTATCTGTGAGGGTGAGGTCCTCTGGGATCCCCCTGCCCACTTCATCGTGGGCAGGGGGACAAGATGGAGAGAGGAGTCTGGAGGGCTCCAGAGAGGAGCAACAGTAGTCAAGCTATGTCAGGGTCTTTACCAGGGGAACTGCTGGAGTCTGCAGACCCTGCCTAGCACCCTCCCCGACCTGCCAGCAGACTGGAGACCAAGAACTGGGAGTATTGGCTGCTGTCATTTGCTTGGTAAATTATTCAGAAGCATTATTATTGCCTTGTTAAATTGTGCCTTCACTGATTCCTATAAACCTTCCTCACAATGGAAGCCTCCCTCCCCTAGTTTCAATAATTCTGACCAAACAGGAGGAAGCCCTCAGGAAGGCAGACGGGCAGTAATTACTGCCTTCATCTCCCAGATATTGCATGTATAACTCATGGAGCTAATTGTCCCAGTGTCTGCGAGCACTCCAGACCTGAGAGTGATCTGGGAGGTGCAGAGAAGGAGCACGGGGGCTGCTCTCTGGCCCATTGTTCCCCTCACCCCATTGCCACCCTCGCCCCTTTTCACTGTGGGGCTTCTAGACAGAAGCCTTTGGCTTGGCCTATTCTCTTCTGGTTCTCAGGGACTTGAGGCAGATGGGCCTGAACATTTCAGAAGTCACTTTACAGTTTTGCATGTGGCTCCAGGGTCTGTGGTCTTGCAGAACAGCAGAGCCCCTGGACCCCAAATGCTGATGCTTGCATCTCTCTGAACCCCCTCCCTCCTCTAGGGGCTTGCGGGGAGGGGTCAGACTGGGGGTTTCCTTCCACAGACGGGAGCCCTCTTGCAGATGAGGACAGTGTCCTCCTCTCCCAGTTCCAAGGAGCTGGATTCCAGCAAGTGGCCTCTTCAGATTCCAGGAGAACCGCCTTTCTCCCTGCCTCTGGTTATTCAGGTTCAGGTTCATGATCTGTCCCTTGTAGTGACTCCATGGTGCCCCGCACCATCAGCAACAAGAGCCGAGCCACTCCAGGGTCTTGGTTTCTGGTTTTGCCAGCAGCCAGGCTCTACCCAAATAGTCTGCAAAGCAGGGCACAGGTACAGTGAGTTTAAGCACATTGCCACCCCATGCACAGATCATCTCTTTGTCTCAGGTAGATGATGCCCTACCTAGCCTGCAGTATGTGTGTGTGTGTGTGTGTGTGTGTGTGTGTGTGTGTGTGTACGTGTGTGTGTGTTTGAGACAAAGTCTCGCTATGAAGTTCAGGCTGGCCTTGAGCTCACTTTGTAGCCCAGGCTGGTCTTGAACTTGCTACAATCTTCCTGCCTCAAAGCCTGCAGTTTTAGAAACGCCTAGTAATAACCACGTCTTCATTGCTATTCTGGGACAGTATGTTCTGTGGCATAAAGATACAGGCTTTTGTATTGTGGCTTAACTTTCAGAAAGTCCTCTGGAAGCCATCTCTACTGTTTCTTCCCAAGAAAGGTCCTGAGAAACAGACAGAATGAGAATATCTAGGATATTAACTATCTCTGAGGCCAGCCTGTGCATAGCATCATGATTATACTGAAGAAAGGAGCTTTCTCCACAAGCAGCTACCAGTTGCTTCCCGAAGCCCCTAACCTTAATGAATGGAAAATTCCTCCTCCTCTCCCCACATCCTGGACCCCTGTCCACATCCTGTGATTCCCAGTGCAGCTGATCTGAGTCAATTTCTCCTTCCTGTGGAAGCCACAGAGCAGGGTGCTGTGGGGCTCAAGCTTCCTGAATCACTTGCTGCTTCGAATGTGCTCTCGAGTGCCCCCTGCCACCCCATGATGCACAGCTGGAGCCAGCAGTAGCTGGGCCCTGGAATTAGGGTCTATGAGTGTTATCAGGATCTGCTTCCCGCTGACCTTGGATTCTTGGGCTTCCATCCTCCCCACCCCCACTCCCAGCTCCTTTGAAGAATAGGATGGGAAATTGTCAGGTGCCCCAGCTCTTTCAAATGGGTAACATTGCCTGCAGGCTGGGGAGCATCTTGGGAATCTTTCCACAAAACTTCTCTGGCTTTGCTAGAGATGAAGTCAGAATTTGGCATTTCATTCCTTCCTGTGCCACAGTGCAAAGGAGCCAAGGACCCCGGCAAGGTGGTGGGGTGTGTGTACAAGGGTCTGTCTGGACTCAAGCTGTCCTGGGAGTCTGGGAGGTGTGCTGCTCACCTGGGGTCAGGCACTGCCCAGGTCTCTCAATGCCCTTCCTCATTCCCATAGCGCCACACTGCCCACCATGCCATTCATTCCCTGTGCGGGATCCTTCCTTCCTCCTGGAGGGTGTCAGAGGGAAACCCTGGGGGGACATGGGGACTCCCTGAGTGCTGAAAGTTTTTCACTGTTGGAGAAGCTAGCAGCATCCGCCGCTCACAGGTGAGCAGATGCTGCTGGGTCACAGGCCGCTCAGCAGGCACCGCCCCAACAGTGCACAGATGGCAGCACTGAGCTTATCCTGGCTGGAGACCCAGCCGCAAACTGACCGTACTGAGCAGGGGGCCTTGGAATAGGACAAGGTCACCCCATTTGCTACCCTGCCCTGTACTCAAGAGTTGGAGCACTGATGACTGAAGAGAGCTATGCAACCTGCAAGTGCCCGGCAGGTACCCTGCCACTGCCTCCCAAGCTCCCTTCTGGTACCCACTCTGAGGAGGTGGCAGAGCCATGCGGAAGTTATGCCAGCCAGCCACTTCCTAGAGGGGTGGATTGCGCTGAGAATCAGGTTCAGGTTAGATGGGAAGCAGCCTTGCAGGGCCTCACCAAGAACCCTGTGGTCCATCTCCATCCAGAGACCTGTTTCCTGCTTCCCCCTTGGCTGCAGTTCACGTGGCCACACTGGCCCTTGTCCATCTGCAACACTTCACATGCTTCACACGGTGTGTGGCCCCTTTGTGAACTGAAAGGCTTCTTTCAGCAGAGAGGACCCTCTTGGTGAGGTGGGGAGAAGGGAATAGCACCCCCACATGGCTGGACCCCATCGAGATCCTAACGTGCCCCCCGCCTGGGAGCATCACGGGCCATGGCAGCTTGTTACCGGACACTGGCTCATTTCTGAGGGTTAGGGCTAACCCTAACCCTAAACCCTAACCCTAACCCTAAGGTCTCCAGCCACACGGTACGGTATGTGGCAACCTCTCATTTTACAGCAGGGAAAACTGAGATTGGGAGGTGATGGCTTCCCGTGGTCCCTGAGTTGAAGCGGAAGCCCAGCTCTCTGGGCTCCTGGTGAGTCTTCTTGCCCTGCAAACGGACTTGCTCTGCCCGCCTAACACAGGTCCGCAGACTCCACTTGTAGGGTAGCCCTGGCTGCAGTGCAGAGTGAGGGATGTGGGCCACCTGTTTGCCAGCCCTCGGAGCCTGACCTGTGGAGGGGGTTGAAATGACACTGCCCAGATGTGGTGTCCAGTGAGTAAGCTGTGTTTGGACCTTCTGCCCGCCGGCTTTAATATGTCTTTCTGTCACTCCTTACTCCCAGTAGTGACTCTTACTCTCGCTCAGGTAGGGATGGAATTGAGTGTTCTTCCCAAGGACATTTCCTTCCCCTGCCTTAGTCTCTGTACTTTTGGCTTCTGTGCCCCAGGGCTGTGGCGTCTGCTAAGTGGGTCACTGCTGCCATCACGAAGTATTTATTCTTACCACGTCTGAGGCAGGAGGAAGTCTAGAGGCCTGTAGAAACCCACGAGGAGGTAAAATTAACGTGAAGCAACAAGTCTCAGGGACAGCAGTGACCTCTCAGGATGTGGGCAAGTGCAGGTCCGTCTGTTGGACACACAGGTTGTTTGCTCCAGTGTTGGTATCCCCAGAGCACAACCCCAGGAAAAAACAGGTGCTGCTGCCCTGGAAATGGGGCAAGGCAAG